CACAAAAATAAACAGCAACCTACTAAGGGAAAATTTTCTGTGTAGTCAGTTATGAATCGAAAGAGACATGATCGCCCAAGCGTGTATCACGTATGGCACTTAACTGAGAGACTACGAGTAAATATGAAATACGTGTTGATATTTACTAAACTTAGATAATTTTGGGTCCGATACGCCCACACACACACACGTAGAATTGTCTTTCTTTTGCCTGGCTTTCAACAGCCTATTGTCGCTGGTTGGAAAGACACCTGTCAAAAGCAAGTTTACAGTGTTTTTTCTTATATAGGAGTGTTATATAGGAATAAAGTGTCGCTGCTGACACTGGGGTTTGAACACAGATCACCAGAGAGCAAACAGGCGATCCCATTTTGAATGAGTAGATCACGTAATGGTAAAGGAAATGTATAAATTGGAATTAGCGTGGTGTCTAAGTGATTACTATCCGGATTATTTCAGAAGTGTGCTTGTCAAACTCTGCTTCCGGGCAGAGAGGAACCTAGCTCGTCTGGGGTGGTAGACAGCTACCCAACCCTGTTTTTTTACGGAGTTTACGGGGAATACCCCACTATAAACTTGGCCTTGTGCCACATCCGACCGCGTGGGGCGGTAGGTGAATATTTCACTTTCCGGATTACTTCGGAAGTGTGCTGGTCAAGCTCTCTGTTTCCGGGCAGAGAGGATCTCCGGGCAGAGAGGATCTCCAGACGAGGCTATCTTGAAGGGCAGAGTCTCGTCTTCGGAGACAGCTACCCGACCCCGTTTTTTACGGAGTTACGGGGAATTTTTGGCCGAGCCTACGGGCTCGAATACCCCACAGTAAACCTTGTTCCGCATCCGACCGCATGGGGCGATTAGTGAATATCTCACTATACGGATTACTATTCGGATCACTATTCGGGGGTTACTTTTCGAGTGAGTATTATCGAGCAAGTACTATTAGTGCGTTATTCGAAGGCGTCTGACACCAGTATTGTTCAACGGCATTACTATAGTTGTATATGCGATTACAAAGTCTCTACTATAACGAGCATTACGAAAGTTACAACGAGTATTCGTTGGTATCAAAATTGTGCGAAATTTTACGCTAGTAACCTTCAAGAATTATCTTTTTAAATATTATGAAGAGAAAGCGTATCTTGGCACAGAAGGAATACATCAATATTATAGCCGAATGCTGTACAAATTAATGGGGTCTGATTCGGAAAGAGTTGAATGACTCTAATGGTGATTACGAAGGTACGGCAGCTCGGAAAACTCACTCTGATCGTTCCGATAAGAAAAGGACTACGGAATTTATTGATGAGGGACTCAGACTCAACCTGGAGGCCTACATCAAGTGCCTTGAGAATGTAATGCTGCCCTGGGTCAAGAGGGTTGCTGCTGGAAGACATTATGTCTGGCAACATGATTCACCATGTCACACAAGCAAGAGAACCCAGTCATGGCTGTCAGACAATTTCTGCGACCACACCATCCCATCTGCCTACCTAACTCCCCAGACTTGCAACCTCCTTGATTATCATGCGTGGAGCGCAGTTGAGCGTGATACCAACAGAACTCTTTATAACACCAAAGATGAACTGAAGGCAAGGATTATAGCAGCATTCAACAACTTAAACAAGGAGATCGTCGGTTGCAGGAGATTCTTCAGTCGTCTGTAGGCCGTTGTGGAAGCCAATGGCAATTTTATTGAATAAATTTACTCTTTCTTATTTCAAGATATTTTGTGTAATTTTAGCAAATATATGTGTTAAACTGAAATGCGTGTTACATTATATATATATATATATATAGTGGAGCCATGGATAACGTCTTGGATTGAGGAATCGGAGAACCGAGTTCGAATTCCAGTCGAATCCATTACATTCACTTACGTGCTAATACCCAAGGTGTGAATCCTCTTCTTCTCCTTCCAGCTATGGGTTCTATAGCTTTGGATGGGAACTGGTCTAGAAGGACAAGTCTGAATTCAAAACCTGCGCAGGGTCGTTTGGGGACCTTGTGGCACTTAGTGCACCAAGTCTCTGAATTCGGCCCTTCAAAAAGGGGTGGATGGTCCTGCACAAAACCTTCACCACTATAATCAAATCTCATGTGCTGGTGTCGGGCTGTCAGTTTCCTAGCAACTAATCTGCTTGGCGGGAGAGTCGAGTGTGTATATATATATATATATGTGTGTGTGTGTGTGTGTGTGTGTATTCGCACAAATAACTCGTGTGTGTGTGATACATACAAATATGTATATAGTAGATGATTGTTACAAAAAGAAGACTAAAATCAAAACAGGAAGCACCTAAGACAGGTGTGAAAAATCTGTGGCGTGTCTCGATACATATATCGATTTTATAATGATTAGAAAATAAAATTAGACATGGATAAAAATCGCAATTAAGAGGGAGAACAAGAGGGGGGAATGGCTAGAGGCTGATAAACATTTTCATTTTCACTTAAGAACCAATTATTAAGATTTGGAGAAACCGAATTACGGCAAACAAAATGATAAGGAAAGGCAGACCGACAAATAATTGTAACATTCGACAACAAAAAGTAAAAGGTTATTCATTAGATATTATGATGTTTTGAAAAGTTAAACGTCTGCATTAAGAACGCTTTTTCTCGGCTGCAATCACGTGTTAATATGGAATCAGTCAGTCAGATATGTGCCATGCGTGATACACGCTTAGGCAATCATGTATCTTTTGATATATGACTGACGAAGCAGATTTTTCCCGCAGTAGGTTGCCATTTCTTTCTACGGTAGACTAGTTACCATCCACACTATTTACCCATAGTTAGTGGAGAAGAAGAGGGTTCATACCTTTCCCAAGGGTATTAGTAAGTGAATGTAATCGATTCGACTGGAATTCGAACTCGGCTCTTCCACAACTTCCACTTCCGCTATCCACAACTCCACCATCCGTCCTAATATAGAATCACACTTTCTAAAAATTTGTTTTATACAAACTTTAATATGTCATGTGAGTTCATGGTATTCTCAGCATCCTTCTGTGGAACCACATTACTGTTGGCTAAAGTCTTTCTTTCATCTGTGAAAAGATTGTCCAGCATTCACTGCCATATAGGAGGACTGATTTTACAGTCAGTCACAGAACATATAGAAGGCAAAAGGGATTGAGAAAAACAGCGCGTAATCTACCTAACAAGTGTAAATAGTTGGCAGGACAGTGTGTGTGTGTGTGTGTGTGTTTCATTAAGGACGAAACACAAGGTACTACGATAAAGCTTTTTATTTAATTTTTCTTGTGTTTGGACAAATGTTTTCTTTTCTGGACACACAGTGTGCAGAAACTGTCCAAATGTTCTATAATTCCGAGCGCTTTCGGCTATACTTTTAGCCATTATCAAGGATGAATTTATTTTTATTTTTTTAATTGGGTGTATGGGTCGTTTGTATGTTTCTAGAGTTATAGGAATGTTTTATTTTCCGACCACAGTCAGCACATTGTGGTCGTATTCGTACTTAATAGTATCAAGTTTTGGCTTTTTCTTTTTCTTATTATTTTATTATTATTTCTTTTTATTATTAGTAGTGTAACCGATGTAATTATTTATAAATTCGTTTGGATCAGGAACACAGTTTCTTCAGGGGAATTTGAACTCATAGATAATGCTTGTTCATCGTAATTTTGATTATGTGTAGTTATTTTTGAGGATAAGGTTAGCTGTTTTAATTTTTTTTGTATAAATAAAAGATTGCTGCCTAAATACACTATATATATATATATATATATATATATATATATATATATATAATACAGGGTGTCCCAAAATAATGTATACAATCTTTAAATATTAATAATTAATACTACATTACCGTGATGTGAGAACTTATATGGATGAAAATACGCAAAGCAAATGAATTGGAAGAAGAGGGACAGTTGAATACCTACCTAGATCACCATATTTGACACCCTTGGATTTCTTTTTGTGGGGGGTTCTAAAAGACAAAGTTTACAGCAGGAAACCTGAAACAATTGCTGAAATGAGAGTAGCAATTGAAGAAGAATGTGCTCAAATACCAGAGGAAATGATACTGGACGTTTGTAGGTCTTCAAGATATGAGAAGTGTATTGAACAGAACGGCAACCAGTTTGAGCACTTGATGTGAACTCATCATTATATGAACATTCTGCCATTGGCCCAAGTAGCTTTTATCTTATTAAAATTAATTGTCTATGTTTTTTGTATATTTTACTCTCAAATTCTTTAAATGTCTATTCTTTCTCTTGTATTAATCTTATAGTCAAAATACATAAATTGAATAAATTATAACGATTCAAAGAGTGTAAACATTATTTTGGGATAGCCTGTGTGTATATATATATATATATATATATATATATATATATATATATGTGTGTGTGTGTTTGTAGCGTCAACACTGTATGGCGACTGTTTCGCAAATTATCAAAATATCTTCAGTGTTGATTCCTATGTCCATACTGTCTATAGAAACACTATCTCCGAAACTGAGTCCTCTTACCCCATTAAGATAACTAATTATATAGTTCTATAGCCCAAAGCAACTGAATTTACATCTGAAATTATCAGTGTAATTATGGGAAAGTGTTGGGTCGAGTATATGGACAAAGGAGGATATTACGTTGGGAAATATTTTTCTGTAAAATAAACGCTTTTTCATTGTTAGGCTACGGACTTTATGATATACCTATTTATATGTTTATATAAGAAAGGTAAAGCAAGTACGTTTACTTTTGTAAAAAGGCATGAATCCATCTCTTCTCGCTCTCCCTAGCTATGGGTTAAATGGTAGGGTAGATATAATTTCTAGATTTGTGCGGTAGGAGAAGAACTAATCTGAATTCAAAACCGTGGAAAAGGAAACGGAAAATCAGTTTCCGAAGAAGTTACGTCAATTTAAAAGTAATAAAGTAATAAATAAAAGAAGTTCTGAAGAGACATGACAGTAGATAAAACGAAAAAAAAAGGTAATTAGAAAAAGTAAATAAGCAAACAAAGAAGGATAGAAAGGAACAGAGAGAAGTAATGAGAGAGAGAGAAAAAGAAAAGTGGTTGCCCCAAGAAAGATAGAAAAGGAGAGAGGGAGGGAGGGAGAGAGAGAGAGAGAGAGAGAGAGAGAAAATGGAGTGATTTAGCGAAAAAGGTGGTGTAGAATAGAGAGAGAGAGAGAGAGAGAGAGAGCGGTGGGGTTGGATGCCCATTAGATAATGAAAAGGATACATTGAAAGAGAGGGAGATAGAAATGATTATTAAGTAGAAGAACGCACAGAGAGAGGAAGAGAGAAATATCAAGAGAGAATGAACCGGCAGTAAGAAGATGACAGAATTATATGAGAGAGAGAGAGAGAGAGAGAGAGGAAGGGGGGGTCTGCAAGACAGAAAACAAAACAAACAAAAAATATACAATAGAAAGAAACAGACCGAAATCGATAACTCAAACCTATCACCAAAGCTGATCATAAACAGATGGCCAATGAAAAGATATCAAAATAAAATAGATCGATAAAAGTATAATAAAGTAAGGTAATAAAAAAAAAAGGTCTTTTTTAAATTTCAGTATTATCAATATTCATCAATAGCCTTTGACATTTATTTTATTGTAAAATAATGTAAAATTTTTACATATTTCATTATATATAACATTCGATCTCCGGTGTTGTTGATTTTAGTCACGGTGTCCAATTCTTCTTCTGGATTGATCGCCGATGAGAAATCATGGATAAGCCAGTTAAATTGTTTTTTTTTTTTTTGTTAATTTATTTGCTTTTTAATATTTCCACTTTACAGTAAAAGTAGTAAACCGAATCTGTTATAATTTTCTGTTCTTTTAAATGCACCTGCTTTTATCGCAATTATTAAAATCTGTGAATTTTAATATCACCGACAAAAAGCGAAAGCGAGATCACTTTAAAAAAACAAAACAAAAAAACAAAACAAAACAAAAAACAAAACAAAAACAAACAATAACAGAAAGTTTTAATCATAGTTCAAGTTTGAAAAACCTTTTAAAACACGAGTATCTCTACCGCTTAACATTTACTACAATATAAGTTCTAAGCTGACTATTTAACGGCATAAAACCGTACTTCCTCTCCTCCGTAAATGGATCCAAAATTTTCCCCGGTTCTTAGAAGTGGTATTGGCGTATCTGATGGGCTAAAAATGTGTTTACCTGGATGCTCCAGATTATCAGTACTTGTACCTAGATTTACTCCATAATGTACTGGAATATTAAATATAAGTAGGGTGGGTGGTCAAAGAACCGGTGCAAGGGTCTTGTGCTCCCACGAATCTATGATATCGCCACCACACCACATCTCAATTTTCTAAATATAAATTAGAGACATGTCATAAATTATTCCATTTTTAAATAAATCAATAATGTTTTGCAGTAATTATTAACTTGAGATTCTTCTACAATATATATATATATATATATATATATATATATATATATATATAAAATAGCGAATTTTATATAGTGTTTTTTTTAGACTTAGCATGAGCAAAACAATGTCACGGATTTAGACCCCCACCCCAGAATGATGTCAAAACCCGAGAAAATTTTTCATCCTTTAATAGTCAGTTGTGCTTAGTTTAATTAGTAACGTATATAAATGTAGGTAGAAAAAAAAAAAAAAAAAAAGAAGAAGAAGCAAATGTTGACAAGATAGCAAGGGTCACATAACACTGCCGGGGCCTCTAATCAGGCTCGGTCTTTTCCGGGGAGGGGTTTCAGGGACAGTACGCACCAGCCCGTCATGGTCATATACGCCGTCAAATACGGTAATTCTGATAAAATATATTAACATTTCGACGTGATGTAATGATTTGTAAACTTGTCCCGCTAGATCAATTACGATTGAGTAGTGAGCTCGATCGTCAATGGGTGCTCCATACTTTCGGCTTCGCTTAATAAATCACTATATCAACATTTCAAAGCGGCAACTTGAACCGGCTCTGAATTTTTATTATTTTACTTTCAACACACCAGACTTCCACAGAATACGACAGCTGGTCGCACGTGATCCTCAAAAGTACTTGATGTGGTCCGCGAGGGGTTTGCAAAAAGTAAATTTAATGTGATTATCAGAATAAGTTCAGCGACTTATCGCGTACGAAAAATTCACTTTTGAGGCCGAATGACTTTATTTAGCCAATATATATTTTTGTTTAAGATATATCTCCCTTGGGATGCATTTGCGCTTTTTTTTTTAAACTAGGTAATTTCCTTTAAAAATTTACCCTTGTGACCGGCGACTAATTTTATGCCAGATGTGGCCCCTTACATTTTTAATTGTGCAGGCCGGCTCAAAACACTGCGAAAATTATGAGGATACTGTATTACCCGCTAAAAAGGTTTTTCTTTAAAAGAAATCAATTTTACACATATACAAAATAAATAAAAAAAAACAAACAAACAATAATAACACCCCCCCTTTTAAAAAATAAAACAAAAAACAAACAACACTAAAATGTTTTTTCAGAGAAATAAATAAGTACTTACCGGTCGTCCATCCTGTCCAGGGGGTCCTCTGGGTCCGATTGGGCCTCTTTCTCCGGGGTCACCCTGTAGGTAAACAGGTTCGAAATTTTGAGATTTAATTTCGACAGGTGATAAAAGAATCAAGCCGAGAATTACAAGCAGGACTATATCCCAATTTGCCATGGTGTAAAAAAAACCTGAATTTCACAGCAACACGCGCGTGTACACACACACAGAGAAAATGGGCACGAATTCTTTTTCTCTTTTTTTCTTTCTCCCTTTCTTCCTCGTTCTTTTTTCCCCCCTATAGTTCTCTCAAGCCGAACAAAGACAGGATAGCACAGATCGGAGAACACAGAACAGACGTCTCCGCCCGGTGTAAGCGTTTTAACTTGAAGTTTTACGCTACTGCCACCTCTCGGATGGACAGACTGACGGTGAAGTAAAACAGAAAAAAATACGGAAAAAAAGAGCGTTGTGCTTGCTTGTTTGTGGTTGTAGGGTGAAGAACCTAGGGCGAAAGCGCACGAAGACTAGAATCAGGGACAATAAACGCGAAAACCCTGAGGAAGGTTTTTTGAAAAATTAGCGACTACTTGCGTCGCTGTCGACCAAGGGTCGAGTCGGCTCGCTAAAGCCGAAAGAGACAGGCGTATACAAAATCTTACTGGCAATGTTGACTTGTTTTCTCTTTCTTTTTTTTTTTTCCTTTTTACTCTTTCGGAAAAGAAAAAATGAAAGGAACGGGTAAGTGGAGAGAGGACAGAAGGAGGCTGATTTGATGCAGGTGGATGGTTGGCTTTTGAATGAAGTTGAATGTAGCTAATAGTTGAAGCAGAATTCTTCGACGAGTCTTTGGATATAGTTATTAAAAGTGGTGGACGAGGTAGGTAAAGTTAAAAAAAAAAAAAAAGAAAGAAAGAGAAATGATAAAGAGACGGAAGGGAGAATAAAGAAAGGATAGGAGAAATAATGGATCGACGAGGTGGAAAAAAAAGGCGGAAATAAAAAAGGAAAAGAGAAAAGGTGGGAGAAAGAAAGGGACGAATAAAGCGATTGAAAGAGAGAGAGAATGAGGAAAGCAGAGGGTGGAGGAGTCAACCTTTGAATGGATCTTCTAAAAAGTGTGAGGTGGCAGTCTTTCGTAGAGAAGCGTTTAATTTGTGCATACATACACAATTCTGATTCCTCCTACTCCTTCAATTTCTGCATATTTCCATCCATATTTTTCCCTCTATCTAACTTTCCACTTCTCCTCCATTCTCTTTGAAAACAGGCAATCATTTTTTATATTTTCCGAAATTTCCCTTTATATTATTATTTTTTTAATTTTGATATTTTAATTCTTCTTTTCTTCCAGGACAACTTTCGTCCATTTATTCTTTCATTCATTCTTACAAATCACACCTTAATTTCAGTTTCTGTCTATCATTTTTTTCTTTGAATTTTCTCCCATTTTTTTTACCTCTTATTCATTCTTGTTAAGTCAGCTTGCTTTCTTTTCCCTCGTCATCCTTCTCTCTCTTTAAATTTTTCTCTTCCTTTTCTTTATTTCCTTCTCTCCCTAACTGTTTCTTCCGACTACAATAACTATTTTCTGATGACTTAATTTAGCTGGTTGGTTCGTTATTTGATGATAGTCAGGTTACTGGTAGGTGGGGTTAAAAGACTTCTCGATCAAGACACCTCTTTCGCTTGGCTGGTTGGTTCTCTGAGACAGACGTTTTTGGACAATTTCGTCTCGACATCCCTTTTTCGTGATTCGCTTTTTTTTTTACCCACCTACTTGCCTAACGAAGACACCCCCACCACAAACAATAACAGAAAATAGCTTAGAAAGTGTTTTTCCTTTTTACTGTTATAACTCCAGCTACCACCACGCTACACTTCGTCATTACGACGATTACTGCTACATCTGCTATGATGACAACCGATAGAGGCCGGTGTGGAGGCTCAGTTAGTAAAGACATTGATACGTTAGTTCGGTGCTTTTTAGAATTGGATAAAGTGGTTTTTCTTTGGGTAATGAAACACCATGGAGTCGTACACATAAAGAAATGTTTTCCTGACGATTCCAACAAAGTGTAGTTAGGTGTGAGTCTCCGTCACAGAAGCTAAGCTTGACCTGAACTAATAAACATTGAATAATAATTGTCAGTGTTTATAATTAGAATACAAATATTCGTTTCAAAATACATAATATTTGCATCCACGGTGCTATAGGGAGGGCTAGTATGGCTTCAGCCTCCATCACCTTTTCCTGGAACTGAAAATTAAATACAAAACTTAATTTGCCTTTTTAGCCTCAATCTATAACAACGCAGTTGAGTTGAGCTGTATCATTTGTCTGAAATCATTACTGTTCCATTATTTTTCAAAGTAAATAAACTTTGATATTCCCCTTTTAATTTCCTTCATTTTTCCGAAACATTATCTTCTAAAACAAGTATATGAAGAAGTCTATAGATCTCGTTCTAGAAAATGAAAAACAGATTTTAAAACAGATTTTATGAGAAAATCAAAAAAAAAAAAAAAAAAAATAATAATAGAGAATAAGGAACCATTAAAACTTAGCATCTAATTTAGCACCCTCTCCCAATTTAAAATCAGGTTTAGCACCCTCTCCCATTTTAAAATCAGATTTAGTCCCCCCTCACTTTTAAAGTCTCATTTGGCGCACCGCTTAAAATCTTATTGGGCACCCCTATTTTTAATGTTCGATTTGGTTCACCTTACAATCTGCTGTAGCCCCTCTTTTAAAATCTTATTTACCCCCCACTTTTAAAATCTAATTTAGTCTTCTACTTGTAAAATATGATTTACCCCCCCTTTTAAAATCTGATTTAGTCCCCACCACTTATAAAATTTGATTCTGCGACACATCACTTAAAATTTTAATCTAACCTCTTCCTTTTTAAGCCTTTTTTATCATCCCAACTACTTATAAAATCTGATTTAGACTTTTATGACATATTTTGTGGCGTCGTGCCTGAATTGCCGCCCGTTTTTTTTTAAAAAACATCATTTACGTTTTCTGCGTGTTTTTATCTACATTGGGTAAAAAGGATTTTTTTTTTTGAGAGTGTTTTTGGGTAATGAAGGGCTAAACATTGACAACCACTAACTTTCGGTAAACGAAACGCCTGTCAGGTATTTCCTAACCATAACAGAGTTTGACACGAAGTCACAGCCGTAAGCCTTTTAGCAGGGAGTTTAATATACAAGATCTGAAGATAAAGACGGAGATATATTGCTTTAATTTGTTATATAAATGCACACGCCTACATTCTAAACCTTGAGCAAGTATTTCAGGCTTTGTGTTCAAGTTTAATTTAAGAAAAAAACGGTCTGATTAATAGGAGTTTTAGTTAAGAGAAATTTTAGTTCAATTAGTAATTTTCCAAAAACTTAACTGTTTTTATAATATTGGTCAGGCTTTGCAAAGACAATGTCTTGTTTTCAATTCTTAACGAAATCATTAACTCTTCTTGAGATATTTGTATTGATACGCAAATTCCTAATTTTTTAAAGTTAAATGTAAAATTTATTGGTAAAGACTCAAATCAACTGTTAGCCAAAAAGTAGATACACCACGTATTTTTTTAGCATATATAGTTTCAAAACGCAACCGGATTATCAGTTTTACGTGTTAACAGAGCTTAGTAATACTAATAATATATTTCTAACATGAATTATGTACCTACCGTATCATAGGCTATTAGAAACTTGCATTAAACGATTGTCAAATTATACGCCGCTTGTGTCCGCTTGGTTAAATCATGTGAAATTAAAATGCCCGCTCGTTAGTCTGTCCGGATTTAAAAAAAGGCATCGACCCATCAGTTATTGTATAATCGGTGCTGAACATTTTTTTAACACTAACGTTCGCCCAATGCAAGGCTCAAGAGCCTCTCAAGGTAGAGTGTTATTGTGTGAATTTATATTAGCGAAAGAAAGGGCAAGCGTTAAGAATACAGAGCTGAAGCAGACTTTAAAATGATCCGGAAACCCAAGCCTAAACAGGAAACAAGGGATAAGCTTATACTCCTGTTCAAAAGACGGTGGAGGAATTTAAACTTCTAGTAATTTTTAACATAGATCATAAAAAAAAAAAAAGTTCCTCAGTCTCTTTTTAAAAGAAGTTTATTGAGGACAGTATATTTTTTAAAAGCTGGTGTAACTTAGTGAAATTTATATTTTTATTAAGTTTTGTTTTCTGTCAGTAATGTTGATCTCGGATCTAATCAATATTAATTCACCCAAAAATAAAATGAATTTATATTTATTAAAATTCAAACCAAATTCTCCCAGAACGAGGCCCTTCCATTGCACCCCGGTTGGTTTGAACTTTGCAATCGCCCCAAATGTGGGCGATGCTGGTGTGCTATTTCTAAGTGTGGAGGTCTACATTCACGCTCACCCCAATAAGCAAGCCAAAGACAGATTTTTTTTTCTTTTTTTTGTTTTTTTTAATTGTAAAAAATTCCTTGTAAGTATCTCAAATATAATCCGCATTTATGAAATGGGAATAATTCTCTGATTTTTGGTAATTTTTTTTTCATTCTGAGCGTTGGAGTTATTGTGAGGCAAACTAAACAAATTTTGATTTAAAATTTATAATTTCAAAAGTGTACTAAACATTTAACAAAAAACAAAACAAAAAAAAAGAGACTGATTTAAAATTTATAATTTCTTCGAGTGAATTAATAACTGCGATAAATAACTTACATTATTTGGGGGGAATTAACAGAAAAGATCCTTGACCTCTGTCAAGGCCGGTCTGGGGAGCTGTGTGACCAATTTGCAAATATTTTGCGAGTCCCCAGTTTCTCAGTCAAAGTCTTAGTAGAAGCTATTACACGGATAGTTACACACACAATTAAAAAGAAAAAGAAAAAGAAAAAAGGAACTCAGGATTTTAACAAGTACTCGGGTTGTTTAATTATTTGCACACGTATCAATACTCAAGTCACTTAAATGGTTGGTTAAATTTTTTATGTTTGGGTCTACTAAACAGAAAAGAAATACTTTTTTATTATTTAAGCTATTTACATGTGGACTATTGTCGTCATCTTTGTTTTATCAAAACGTTTCGATCGTTGTGCCTTCCTGCCTTCATCAGGTATATATCGATCTGGGTAACCTACAGGAAATTAGTTATTGAGAGTTCAATCTCTGGGCTGGGTAACGGAGGGTGGGGAATAACTGAGAAGTACTAAAAACAAGATAGACAAGAAATGGCAATGGAACGAAAACAGTCTACCCCAATACATTAAATAACGGTTAAGTTCCGAGTTCTCTAGAGGTTACTAGGATCGATATACACCTGATGAAGGCCGGAGGGCACAAGAGCCGAAATGTTGTGATAAAAACAAAAAAGATGAGGACAATAGTCACACTTCTCCCTAGTAGAGGTTTATCCTTTGTTTCCTGTTCCTTCTAAAGATCTACTTCTAACATCTCCTCCTAAACTCTGTAACGTTATTTACTATTTATTTGAATAATGACTTTTTACAAGAATTTTCACTTTTTAAAAATTTTAATTAGAATATTTTATAAACTTAAATCTTTTAAAATTTTGCATTTGTGACGATTAAGTGATATTGTTATTAAATAAAAACTATATTAGCTAATCATAAATGAAATAGCTTACTACAATTCAGTGACTCTAATATTTAAAAAAGTTTTGAAATTTTTTCTGTGAGCCGATTTTTGTAAATACGGACATCCATACACAACATTATCAGAAAATAAGAGCAGTATCTATAGTAAATTTAAAATGTGTTGGCAATTTTCTAACACTTCCTCAACAAGCGTCCTCGTAAGGAAAGCTATAAAACGAAAGTACCCAGAATTCAATAAAACATTAGAATGCTTAAAATATTTATTTTTTAAAAAAGGTTACTGGATAGTTTGAAAACTTATGTAAAAAAGACGTTTACGTTGTATTCATCAAGTAATTTTATTACAATTATTTCCTCCTAAATTCCCGAACATCAGGCTGTCGATAAATGTGTCAACATTTCATAAAAAACACCAACCTTCGTGTTAAAAAAAAAAGCCTGTGATGTTTTAAACTCAAAGTAAGTAATATTTATTTCAATTCATATAAATTAAAATTTAGCTAATTCTTAAATAACATTTAAGAAAAATACATTTAATTTTTGAAAGCTTTTTTTATATAAAGAGACAGATTTACCAATATGGACGATTTTCATCGAGTTTACTGATAATCAAAAAAATAATTCCAATTAATTTAAATACAGCAAAGTATTTTGCTTATTGGAAATATTAAATTTAATCTATTAGCTTGGAATTAAAACTAAAATAAAAGCTTTAAGAAAGATTTTCTATTTTTAAAATGTATTTTATTTAAACCCCAGGTATCGCTTTTTTTAAGGATGTACTTATATATAGTGTATGCTACAAATACTGCATTAGCTTAATAATGTGTCCCTGATAATTAACATATAACAATAACCAAACGAGAATTAATATGAAACAAAAACTATCAGTTTTTAATTTCAGAAGAGAAGATAATCTCCAACAGAAGAGAAGATAATCTGAGCGCTGGACCCACTGAACATAAAACCGGCCTTGACCACCATCAATCCCTTTTTACAGATTTTTGACGCATTTTTATTGTAAAATTATCACCAATTCATTCATATTGATCATGCAATAGCTGCATTAATTCATGATCACCGACAATCACTTTTGATTTCACAGATTGATATTAAGAAAACTAAAGAAAATTTCGCATAAATCGCCGAAACTAAACAAATTTAATTTCAAGTGAAAAGGAAGGGAAGCAACTCTGTTCAAACGGAATATAACCGAGGATGCTTGGGTGTCAAATAAATGTCATCCCCGCTTGTTATTAACTTATTATATTTTTATGGTCATTTACTGTAACGTTGGGAAGACTTCATGGACAATATTTTCGATTTTATTAAATCAATTTACTTAA